ACTTGCGCGGACTGTTCTTCACGTGGACCTACTGCGGAAGGCGGAAGACGCCCTGCATTCGAGGCGGGGCATGTCTGCCATACCTTTACCTACGGAGGGAGAACTACTGCACATCGACGACGCCAAGATGACTCTTTGATGATCGCTCAGAGTAGCTAGCAAACCTAATTGCAATTTTCTCGACTCCTCCCTGATAAGATTTTGGTGTTTCTGCGCTGTTAGATTAGACTAGAGTACATCTCTACTAGTGCTTCCAAATACCAGGGACTCGATGACGTATGACGCCGTGGCGCTCTGTCTGCCGAGATTGCCGGCCTCAGTGCCAAGAATGCCGGGGAGCTCGTTTCCGTACGCAGTAAACAGTCGAGATGGCGAAGATCAACCTATTGTCGGAAGGGCCCTAGGTGGGTTTTCCTTGTGCTCATCCGGGGATTGCTAGGGATCTTCATTTCACTTGGTGATACCTGAGCGTCGGGATCTCCACGGTGGCCAAGGGGAACTTTTCGTCCCAGCCAATGGCCGGCACATACCAAGCAATGCAGCGTACATGTACATCGAGGAGGGTTTCTGTGGCAGGAGGCCTACGAGCAACTTCCCCCATATCTGACTGATGATGAGGGCACCGGTGCATTGCCCTGTGGCGATGTAAACGCGCGCACATGACACTCTCCATTTGATAGCTATCCTACTGGCCCACTAGCAAGCTTAAAGTTGTTTCAATGCGCGCCGCGTTCCGCCGTCCGCCGCCGTCGCCCTGTTTCGCCCGATCTCGTTCGGGAACCAAACAAGGCCCCCGTGGATCTGGAGTGGGTGTTAGATTGATCTGCTCTAAGCACGGCAGTGGAATGGCATGCGACGTGGCCAATCCCTACATCCAAGTAGGGGCAATTTAACGGTCTTCATGCAGGCTCTTCGACAGATAGGAAGTAGAGCAGCTGAGGCTCGAGGTCGACCAAGCTGGCCGTTAGTAAACTGGGGCCCTGCAGCAGAACCCCGCATGCCGTGCATGTACAAAGAGGGAGCGATGACGATGGATGGGCGCCGTGCCAGCGATGAGCTTCAGCTTGGCCGCTACGACGCTACTTTTGCTGAGGGGAGGCAGACATCAAGATCTCAGATATCGGTGACGCCTTCACCAGAGTTTCTGGACAAGAGAGTAGAATGTGAAACACGCTATCATCAGGGCTGAGCTAGTGACTTGGTTTCTGGCTGTCCTGCCGACAGCCCATTGTGCCCTGTTTTGGTGGGTGAGGAGGGGAGCAGGGGAGCAGGGGTTCGTTCGAGCTGCTCAGCAGGTATATGTGCTGAGATGGAGGCTCGTGACGTGGAAAAGCCCTTGACCCCAGCCATGATTGGGCTCGAGGACAAGGGACCGCCTCCTTCATGCTCCTTTTTATGGCATCACGGCAGCAGTTGCCAGCAGGTGCAGGCTCCAGGGCTCACCGACAGTTCCTGTTTTTGGGAGATCAAGTCGACAGGCACTGGCCCAAAATGGAAACTGGGCGTTGCACCCATCGATCTTTGTACCTGGAGTGTGTTTCTTGACAGCAGGTATCCCGATGCATCCTTGACCGCAAGAGGCAATACTAGTTGGACGAATTGGAATGCCGCTGGAATGCTCTATCTTGGAGTCAAGAGACTGACAATCAGCTGTTGGCGATAGGAAGAGACGGAAGGGTACGGAGACCTCGTTCCCGGATCAAACGCGTCATCTGCCGTGGCGCGCGCGGCGTGTTCATGACAACCGGCCTGAACCTTCGTACGGTGCCATACGCAGACGATGTTGTAGTACCTTGGAGGAGACACGGAAACGGCCAGCAGACGCGATGAGAACAGTCGAGACCCTGACGTGCCTGGAAGTGAGACGAGGAATTGCATGTACGGACGGACGGTACAGGTCAAGAGACACAGAGAGGCAGAGTCGCTCGCTACCAACCATGTACAACTGTCCCATTGTCCGCACCGTAGCAGAGACAATGTCTCACGCCTTGTGATGCTTAACAAGTTACCTATGGAAGCTACCGTGTTTTGTAATTAAGATACTTTCGACGGCTTCATCTTCATCATGCTCGTCTTGATTCATGAAAGCAGGCCTGGCTGGGCGACTGCCGTATCCTAAGGATTAGGGGAGGATTTGTAGGCCAATAGGGCGGATCAGGCGGAAGATGCACCCCACTTCCAGGGCAAAGCAGCCATTTCCGAAGCTGGCATAGCGGGCAATTTATAGGTGTCGTGCAGGGATGCAACCATCATCATGCCTGCAGTGCAGTTTTTGCGTTCTGGGCAGATAATTAGGGTGAAGTATCCTGGTGTGCATCCATTTTCCATGAATGTACTCGAATTCTCCATCCCGCTCGCGACTTTCCCCTCCTCACCCTACTCTACCTCTATTCAGTAATACTATCTCCTGCTCCAGCACGCCCGTCGCCCTCGTCGTACTACAGAAATCAATTTGCGCCCTCACTCGACATTCGCTGTTTTGGTTGCATTGTGTGTGCGTTCATCACTTGGAGTGCTTTCTGCTGACGTTCCATCGGCTTCGTCATCAACACCATACCTCATCTTGCGAGAAGACCTGACATTGGCTTCTGGACTGTCAAGCACGAGACATACCAAGCTCGACGCCACCACGAACCGCCACGACTGTCCTGCGCTCGTTTCCCATTGACCGCTCTATTCAACCGTCGACTCCAGCCGAACCGACCGCCCTTACTCCTACCTCCAAACAAGCCACAGATCTCTCGTGTCTCATCTGCCATTGCCGCCTGCCCAGAAAACCAAGGAAGGTGCCTCGCCGGCCGCAAACAGCCAGAGCCAGAACCTGAATCTTGGTATTTCAGGTCGTCGCGAAACGAACCTACGCAGCCACACCATCCCCGACCACAGCAGCCACCACCACCTCCCGCCCGCTGTCTCGCGTCCCCTACACCAAGACGTCTAGGGAAGCTGCATCTGCTTGTCATCTACTCGTGCCACCTGAGCAATATTAAGAATCTCGAAGACAGCCGAGACAGGGTCTGCCCAGCTGCTGCACAGTCACCCTCCTTTGTCCTCTTGTCCCCATCCACCTTCTTCCACCATCACGGAAAGGCGAGACATCGGGAAGAGAAAACCACCTTTGTTCCCTCCTGTCTTCGCTCGAGTGGCTACCGCGCGTGGCCTTCCCTCTTCGAGACACTGTACACGGGTCACAAAAAGAAGCTCGCAAGGCCGCCCCGTTCGACATTTCCTAAAGCTACAGCTGCTGCTGCTGTGGAATGCCGCGTGCCATCTAAGCAGCCAATATACCTCCGCTGGGGAACGGAGAGTACGACACAAGATCACCGGATTATAATAATGTGTATTTTATGATTCAAGTTCCATAGCCCATAGGTAGGTCCAGTGTCCCTCTCTTTCTTCTTTTTGCCTGTTGCTCCCCGTCCCCTCACAATAACACGGCTGTGCCCTGCCAGCTTCATTTCTGTTCTTATGCAGTCCCTCTCCTGTGCCTGCGCTCTGCTCCTGTCTCCATTTCTGCTGCCGGCCTCTTAAACACGCTCCACCTTGCTGCCCGAATCTTACTCAAGCCCCTTCACTTACACATGGATACCCTCACCTCCGACTGCCAGCGCATTGTTACTCATCACCAGCACCCATAACACTCATCTTGGGGCCCCGACGCCACAGCACACAAAGCACACACCCCCTGGCCGAGAATTACCCTGTCCTCCGCCCTTTGTTGTTTGTTGGTTCCTAGCACTTGAATGCAGATGCAAGAATGTCATCCAGAGGAATTACTTCAAACCCTACCCCCTCCGCTTGCTGTTTGTCACCGCCGTTCTCTACTTCCTTTGCCCATCAACGCCGGCTTTCTACCATGTTTAACCAGCCGCCCTAACATTCCTCTCACCATGGACACAGGTCCGGATAGTCGTTCAAGGCGCGATCAGTACCCCGTGTTCTGCTCATCGCACGGTACCGTTTATTACACACCGAGAAATCCCCTCGATCGGAGGTCCCACCATCCTGCAAGCCCGCCGAGCTTCCCGACACCACTCATCGGTCCTCGGCAGCGCCGACCCCACTCTATCCATATAGTCTCCTACCCGTCCGGCTTTATACCCCATGACCTGAGAACGAAGTCGACATCGAGGGAATCTCAGAAGAAGAATAAAGAAGAATTAAAGAGGGCGGAAGCTGTCAAAAAGGCTCGTCGGAAGGAGAATCGCGCCTCCATTCGTCGGCCGGGAGAAAAGACAGGGGGCAGCAAGGTTTTGGAGAAGCTGTTGGCTGCACTTACGTCACAAGCGAACTCCAGATCCTCGTCTTTGAACTCTGTCGAGAAACCCCAATTGCGCCAACAATCGAGGCCGAGGTCCAGACCTGTCAGCTTTCTCAGTCTGAGCAGACGCTTATCTAGGTTTGAAGACACCGTAACAGAAGATCAAATGATCAGGACAGCCACAATGGTAGATGCGACATTACGCCCGCCCGCACGGCCAGTGCAATCAACTACTCATTCACACCGGAACAGCATCATGTCAGTCCGTTCCGCGAAGAGCATCATGAGCTCGTCAGTCACCGAGCTGCAGAAACCGGTCGCGTCTGGTAGCGGCTTATCTTGCATGATATTACTTGCAGAGCCAAATATTTTCCTTACAGGTTTCGATCACGACGGCCATGCGCGGCATGAGAGCGCCAATTCAACAGCCTTGTTACGAGGAAAACTGCAACTTAATGTCTCAAAAAACACAAAAGTCAAATCTATTGCCTTGAAGCTGGTTGGAAAGGCGAGAACTGAATGGCCAGAAGGGATACCCCCGCTGAAAGTGGATATGTTTGAGGAGGAGTCATTGCGAACTCAGGTGCTCACCTTCTTTCATGCAATGCATGATGGCTGGGAGACCGAGTATGGGAACCAATGCACTTTCACGCTGAAGAGCACTCCACATAATTCATCAAGTACCAACCTGCACCGACCAAATCTGAGCCCCGGCGACTCTCTGAGCTCGTTCCAGCTCATGAACAGGTCCCGAAACAATATGACTGCTAAGGAGCTAAAGCGTCTTTCGCTTCAATCTGTTCAGTCGAGGAGTTTTGGAAAGGGCGAGTCTCCGCTTGCAAATCAGGTTGTCCAAGCCAAAGGGTTCAAGGTCTTCTACCCGGGCACATACGAGTATTCGTTTGAGCTACCAATAGATCATCACCAATTGGAGACAACAAAACTGCAATATGGATCTGTGAAGTGGGAGCTCGAGACCACAGTCGAGCGCGCTGGAGCCTTCAAGCCTAATCTGCATGGCTCAAAGGAAGTTTCGATCGTTCGTGTGCCCGATCAGCTTTCCCTGGAGATGACAGAGCCCATCTCAATTTCGCGACAGTGGGAGGATCAGCTCCATTATGATATTATGATTTCGGGCAAATCATTTCCGATCGGCACCAAAATCCCCATCGCATTCAAGCTTACGCCCCTGGCAAAGGTGCAAGTACACAAACTCAAAGTTTTCGTCACTGAGTCGATAGAATATTGGACAAATGACCGAAGAGTCACCAGAAAAGATCCTGGGCGCAAGATCTTACTATTGGAGAAATCAGCGGGCAAGCCGTTAGACAAGCAGTACGAAACGAGTGATCTTCGAGTCTTGAGTGGAGGTGAGCTTTCGCCAGACGAACGGGACGAGGCTAGACAAGCCGCTCAACGGCGACGAACAATGGAGGCAGAGAGGTCGCACGGTGTTCCTCAGCCCCTCCCTGATCCTTCAGAGAACCTGCTGGGCGACCTGGATTTAGGGCTAGAGACATACTGGGGCTCCACTGAGATTGAGATGAATGTTCAGATACCGACCTGTGAAATGATGGCAAAGGACAAGACGCTGCGGCTGAATCCTGATTGTAGCTGGAAGAACGTTAATGTTTACCACTGGATCAAGGTATGTGGCGGCAGGTTGCTTCCTCCCGTTTCAATGTGCTGACTAGTACAGATCGTTATGCGTATATCTCGTCTTGACCCTGAGGACCCTGCAGGTAAACGACGCCGCCATTTTGAGATCAGCATCGATTCGCCATTCACAGTCCTCAACTGTCGTGCTACTCAAGCGAATACGGCATTGCCGCAGTATTCTAGCCCTGACTTGCCATCTGGCTACCGTCAACAGACCTCATGTGGCTGCTCTGACGCCCATGTGTTTGCTTCAAACATCAGCCCTGCAAGCTCTACCGGAACTCTGCCGATGGTCGAGAGCAATGCAGCAAATCCCTCGACTAATCCTGCGTTACCGATGCCACCACAAGCCGCACATCTTGCTACTAATGCTGGTCCGGGTGTGAATGGTCGACCAGGAATGGGATCTCCAATATCATCCATGGCAGCGAATCCACCGGATGATTATGCATCGCCGCGTCCTATACACCTCTTGCGAGTTCCTTCGTACCTCCCTCCAGCATTCGATGCAGATGAGCCGCCCCCACCCTTACCTACAGAACTCATGACACCGCCACCCAACTACGATCTTATTGTTGGTACTCCTAGTGTTGATGGATTGGCGGATTATTTTGCAAGACTCGCAAATTACGAAGATCCCGAGGCGCAGTCAGGTGCGGCCATGTCTGTTGCTGCTTGCGGTAACTATTTCACCTCAGTGGCTCCATCTTCGAGCCAAGAAGGCGAAGCATCAAGCCCTGATGGGGATGGGGAAGACACCGAAGTTGAGGACGATTCAGATAGCGCCGAAGAGTCTCAGCCAACAAGGGCCGTCAGTCGAGGTGGCCGAGTTAATGTCGCTAACCCGCGAACACCTGGCGGTAGGCTTGTGCCAAGTAGGAGCTTCGAGATGGAGCGGCCCGCGGCGCCTTTTGCTTTAAGTATGGCTGGGGTGGTGAGAAGAAATGCAGCCGAGTAAAGTCATGAGAAAATGATACCCTTACAAAGAAAGCGCGCTGGAACAATGTGGAGAACGATACATTTGGTGTAAATTGTTTGACTGCCGGGGGCATGCGAGGCGTTGTTCTTGGCTTTGGCGACAGAGGGTCTGTACGTCATATGAAACCAATACCATCATACCATCGGGACGGGGAATGAGCATTGATTGCACAATACTGGCGCTTGGATACTTGGGCATTGAATTATCACTCATTCTGGGCGAATGACGTTTTCTTGGGAAGGCAGACTTTTGCAATTCACGGAGCATCACCTCGGGATGAGGTCTTTGCATTTGCAATACCATAGGCTGCTCTTCAATGCAAACATGACTGTTCATGACCTAAATCCGTTTATTTTTACTGTGGTATGCCGACTTTACAAATCTGCTGTTGCTAAGTGGCGATGTCTCCGTCAAGATGGGGGTTGAGGCCAATTTGACTGAGAGTAGTCGAAATGTCAATATCGTATTGTCAACGCCTCGGGCGGCGCCTTCTGAGGTGGACCATAGTTCCATCATACTATCTATGAATGCATCAGACTTATTAGTAGCGAAAGCAGGCAAGGAGAGGCTTTTTATCAGTACTTGACAGCTTCGTCGGAGTGACGGCTCGGCTTCTCTTGAGACCCGGGTTCATGTACTCCTCCGCCAGGGTAATAGACGTTAATTTTAAAGGAATACTCATCAAGCTCTCGAATATTCTGTTTATTACTATGGGTCAATCAACTTCTATAAAGGTAGTAACCTCTTGTTGAGGAGGTAGTGATACGCTTGCTGAACCAAGGTTTATTACCCTGGCGGAGGAGTACCTAGGTAACTCTCCGTGTTATTCTTGGCCAAGTGCAGCGCTTGTCGACTGACCAAAACCTGGTTGAGTGACGGCTGGTCCAATTCAAGGAGCCGTGAGAGCCTCTTGGCGATCCGTCCGGGAACCGAAGGGGACGTTTCCTCTTTGGGAGGTCTCCCCTGCCTCCGATGCATCTCGCGCACTTCTACCTATCAGCGTCAACGGCTTCTTACCTCCTGCCGATCCGCCTGCTCCGCAAGCTGTGACGGACCGTGATGCCTGACGTTGAACCAAGCTTTTCGATGGACGTGACGAGCTGCAGCGCTTCTCACTGACCATTTCGCCGCTCACAATGCCACGCTCGGCCCTCCATCCTCGCGGACTCCTGGGTCCGGAACGGCCTTGGCTTCCGTGGTATCATGGGCACAGCTAACTCGAGTGAGCTGTTAGGGACATTGAATCTCTTCTTCTGGCCTACGAAAATGAGACAAGCAATCTATCCCAGACCCATCACGTCGGCTCTCCTTTCCATGATGACGGCAGGCGCCCTTATGATAATTGGACCTCGAATCGCCAGGAGGTTATAACTTCCTCGAGATCCAGTCTTTTGGGGTATTAGAGAGCTTTATCTTTTATCTGGGCCTCTGTTAATCATCTCACTAGCCGAAGCAAGCTTCACCATGCCTCCACGTTTCCTTGCCGCGACCATACTGGCCGGCACAGTTGCTGCTCAACAGTCACTCTGGGGACAGTGTGGTGGAATTGGTTATTCGGGACCGACCAGCTGCACATCTGGGTCTACGTGTACTACTCAGAACGCATACTATGCCCAGTGTGTACCTGGGACGGCCACCGCCGCTCCCACGACGATACAAACATCTACAGTCAGGGTGAGCGCAAGCACCACCAGTACTGCACCAGGATCAACATCTACAGCGACTGGCAAGGTCAGATTTGCTGGCGTAAATATTGCTGGATTTGACTTCGGCTGTGGGACGGACGGTACTTGCAATACGGCCAAGGTGTATCCGCCGGTCACAAACATCCCGCCTTACTACAACAACCCGGATGGCGCTGGTCAGATGCAACACTTCTACCGGGACGACAATCTCAACATCTTTCGTCTTCCGGTCGGCTGGCAGTATCTCGTGAACAACAACCTCGGTGGCACATTAGACTCTATCAACCTGGGATACTATGATCAGCTCGTCCAGAGTTGCTTGTCCACTGGTGCATACTGCATCATCGACATCCACAACTATGCTCGCTGGAACGGTGCAATCATTGGCCAGGGCGGCCCAACTGACGATCAATTCGTGAGTGTCTGGACACAACTAGCCCAGAAATACGCAAGTCAGTCAAAGATCTGGTTCGGGATAATGAATGAACCCCACGATGTTCCCAGCATTACCACCTGGGCCGCAACGGTTCAGAAAGTGGTGACTGCCATCCGCCAAGCTGGCGCCACCAGCCAGTTCATCTCATTGCCTGGAAATGACTGGCAATCCGCTGCTGCGTTCATCAGCGACGGCAGTGCCGCGGCGCTCTCGACGGTGAAGAATCCCGATGGGTCGACCACGAACCTAATATTCGACGTGCACAAGTACCTTGACTCTGACAACTCGGGAACGCATACCGAGTGCGTCACGAACAACATCGACTCTGCCTTTGCGCCGCTGGCCACTTGGCTCCGCCAGAACAACCGCCAGGCTATCCTGACCGAGACGGGAGGCGGCAACACCGCTTCCTGTGAGCAGTATCTTTGCCAACAATTCAATTACTTAACGTAAGTCTCCCGACAAGTCTCAAATCCTTGGGTCAGTTGAAGTACTAACTCATCGTAGTCAAAACTCGGATGTGTATCTGGGGTACGTTGGCTGGAGTGCTGGATCTTTCGATTCGACCTACGAGCTGTACTTGACTCCAAGTGGGAGCGGGAACTCGTGGACCGACACTCCCCTCGCGAAGGCCTGCCTCGCTCGTTAGTGAATAGGGAGAACATACATGCATGCTGAAGGAGCCTGTTGAAAGACCAGGGAGACTAGACGGGCTATATAAGTCAATTACCTGCATCTATATTTATCGTTGATTGTACATAGTTCTGCTATTCTTGTTCATACTTTTGCCATTTCGTTCGCTTTTGTCCATGCGCACATTGAGTCTGTGATCAGAAGTCTTCGTTCCAATACGGGACGCACTCGAGCTTTCGGCTATGACTCCGCATCTCATCGAGGCTTTGGTAATTATCCACAGAGCGCCCAGCTTTCAGATGCCAGAGACCGGGTCCAATGATGGCGATTCCGGAGCGAGGCGTTCAGAATCCGGGTTTGCTTGCGTGTTCAGAGCCATTGCTCATTTTGTCGTTGGACACCATGGGAGGAGCGATGTTACGCCACCGGCCACCACTGGCTACCAGACGTGGCATTGACGACAGGCGGGCCATCCTCTGTGGTGGGAGCCTTGCTTCTTGTGAACTTTGCGGACGCTGGTACTTCCGTTCCTTTCAGAGGCTCTTCAGCCTCGACGCCGAGTGGTGGACAAACCGTCGATTCAGGCTAAATGCGGGACGGACAGCCAAGCAGGGGCAGCACCTGGTAGGATGGATTGCAAGCCCAAGAGCCCTGTCGATGCGGAAAACCAGCGTCGCGGAGCCTGCAATGTCACCAGAAGTCCCCAGCAAGCTTCTATTGCAGGCGCTTCGGTGGGGTTCTGGTGTGACGATACTCCAATTTACCCCAGGGCAGCGGGTCCAGGGGCTTTCCAGATGCACTCTGTCTCAGACCATGGCTTGCTTCACTCTGGCGCAGAAAGCTCTGAACTGCTCACAAATGTTCCACGTCATGTCCTGATCGGTGAACAGGCACGACGAGGCTCGTGGGATTGTCTCCGCATGCGATGGCGCTATGGAGTCCCGTCGCGCCGTGGACGCCGCCACCCTCGGACGGCCGGGTGTGCCCACCGCATCTGAAATGTCTGGTAGCGGTTCTGCAAGATCAATGAGAAGATATATAGGTCAAGCTTGGCACCTCTCGCGGAGAGGAGGGTCTACTTGCACGTAGGGTCTCGCGAAGCATCTTCTCCCAGCACCTGAACCTCCTCCCCAGGATTAACCCAATCCAAACTTGGAACCGAAGTATTAGCTTGGTGAACTTCCACGCCCTCGCCATGCACGTCTTGTCTATCGTGGCTGCTAGCCTACTGGCTGCTCCTGGTGCCAATGCCAACCTCAATCAGTTGATGAAGGCCGCTGGAAAGCTGTATTTTGGTTCTGCTACAGACAATGGTGAACTGTCTGACTCAGCATATACTGCTATTTTGTCAAATGTCAATGAATTTGGTCAGGTTACTCCAGGCAATACTCAAAAATGGCAATACACAGAACCATCACAAGGCCAGTTCTCCTTTACTCAGGGCGATGTGGTCACCAGCTTTGCGGAGAAGAATGGCCAGATTCTGAGATGTCACAATCTGGTTTGGCACCAGCAGCTTCCCAGTTGGGGTGAGTGACCCGACCAGACTTGGGCGATTTGGGAAATATGGTTGACATTGTCTCTCTAGTAAGCTCCGGGTCATGGACTACAACAACTCTGACAAGCGTTTTGCAAACACACATCACCAACGAGGTAACTCACTACAAGGGCCAATGCTACGCCTGGGATGTTGTCAACGAGGCTCTGAATGATGATGGTACCTATCGAACGGATGTGTTCTACAACACACTCGGGAACACATACATCCCGATCGCTTTCAAAGCAGCAGCTGCTGCCGACGCGGATGCGAAGTTGTATTATAATGATTACAACATTGAGTACAGTGGTAGCAAGGCTACCGCTGCTCTAGCGATTGTTGATCTCATCAAGAATGCAGGAGGCAAGATCGACGGTGTGGGTTTCCAAGGTCATTTCATCGTTGGATCTACACCCAGTGCCAGCTCTTTGGCGTCGACCTTGAACAGCTTCGTCGCCAAGGGTGTGGAGGTCGCCTACACGGAGGTCGATATCAGGCACAGCAGCTTGCCTGCGTCAGCATCTGCCATTGAGCAGCAGGCCACTGACTACGTGAGTGTGCTGAACGCCTGTCTTTCCGTCTCGAAGTGTGTGGGAATCACTGTTTGGGACTTTGATGATAAATACTCATGGGTTCCTTCGACCTTTTCCGGACAGGGAGACGCCTGTCTGTTTTCGAGTGACCTTACTCCCAAGCCCGCGTACACATCGCTCATCAGCGTGCTTTCGAAGGCTGCCACTGCGACTGTCAGCTCTCCTGTTTCAACCACAACATCCAAGCCCCTGACCACTTCAACCACTTTGGCAACATCTACAACTAAGGCAACCACGAGCTCCACGACAACGGCTTCTAGCGCTGGGCAGACTCACTGGGGACAATGTGGAGGTATCGGCTGGTCAGGTCCGACGACTTGCGCATCTCCGTACACGTGCCAGTACTCCAATGCTTACTACTCTCAGTGCCTATGATTGGCAAGGGCAACGTCTAAGCGAGTGAGGAATTCATGTATATATTAGGGTTCTATGCGGTGGTATTGTAGGGCTGCAAGTCCACGCCCTGTATATCGACATATCCATATTTTGAGTTATCTTTATTATCCGCCATGATTGCTGACCAGGCCTGTAGAGACTGTAGAAACGCGTCTTTCTGCTTGTCTTGACTCATGTCCAACAGTGCCTTATCCTGCCCAACGAGTCGGATTCTTGCTGATGTTAGCCTCCACAGCCGCGTGATTGGAGAGAGGGGTGTTCTTACTGCGTCCCCGCTGCAATATTAGTGAGCCCAAAGTCTTGCTCATCTAGCTTGTATTGGATGGCACTCTCCACCTTGCCGTCTATGATCTTCTGAGGCAAGTTAAATTCGTGGCATACTGGACGAGCCAGACCGATGCCGTGAACAGTGTTAAGAGCTTTGACCATAGCACCTGCAGTTCGCAGGCCACCGGTGACATATGCCTTGGTTTTCTTCAGCTCGGGAATGATCTTGTCTGCAAAATCCAAAAAGAAGGCCTCGCGCTTTTTGGTTGAGTCCTTCTTGTGCGAGAACGCCAACTCCTCGTACGTACCGCCGGAAAGCTCGACAAAATCGATGTGTCGCTTTTCAAGTTCAGCACACAGCTGTTTGCAGTCATCTGTGGAGAAGCCACCGTCTTGGAATTCAACACTGTTCAGCTTGATGCCGACACTGAAAGACTTGTCCGGAACGCGTTCTCGAATGGCCTCAATGATATCAAAAATGATCCGAGCACGGTTGAGCACTGATCCGCCGTACTCGTCAGTGCGCTTGTTCGTAGATGGAGCCAGGAACTGAGCCAGGAGGTAGCCACTTTGAGGAAGTTAGTTGAGTGAGAGAATCATGACAAGGAGGCTTATTAACATACTGTGCTCCATGTAGCTGAACACCATCGAACCCTGCTTTGTAACAATACTCAGCCGCATGGGCAAATCCATCAACGACTGCATCAAAGTCCTTTCTTTCCATTGGTCTTGGCTTTTCGAACGTCATCCCCATAATCTCACCCTCAAGCTGCACGTCACTTGCAGAGATAGGGTGTGGATTGATATTGCCAGCAACCTGTCGACCTGGATGGCTCACTTGACACACAATCAGGCTTCCATGTTTCTTCGAAACAGCTGCGAGCTCCTTGAATGCCTCAAAGCGTTCTCCAGAGAATGGGGCTGCTCTTGGTATGATAGGATTTCCGGCAGCTTCGAGTTGGTCAAAGTCGATCATTGTATTGCCCGTCAGAATTACACCAAATCCGCCCTCCCCCCATCGCCGATATACGTTGATCAGTTCTTTTGTAGGAACGCCACGCTTTTCTAGATCCTTTGGATCCCACGTGGATAAGCGCTCAGTCATGGCGGCTTTTAAGAAGCGGTTCTTCGCTGTCTTTCCACTAAACTCAAAACTGAGCGGCTGAGCCAGGGGGCTTGAATCTACATTATCGGCTGGTATCCGTGCTGGAGCCATGATGGACAACTTTGAATTTCGATAATATTTTGGTTGTATTCGTTGTTCAATAGCCAGTACATGAACCTGCCGGAGCCGTAAAAGCTCGCGCTCCCTGCCGCTTTATAGGTATGCCCAAGTGCTGGCCGGTGAAGCCGCCCGCCCCTGACTCTTCCACCACCGGTCCTCGGCATCTTCATGCTTGGTAATTCTTCTCGGCATCAGGTCCACAATTATAGGTGTGGTGGTGGGCCACCATGTGGAACTTACATCACGGAAACATGCCGCACAGGAAAAGGTTTAAGGTGGCGGATAGATGCGTGAAGCTAGGCAAGTCGTGTCGTCATGATGCAACTAGCATGTCTCGCGCATGCGTACCAGCCGTACCTGGCTACAGAATTCCGTAAGAATTTTAATCCAATAAATCGTTCTCAGTATAAATCCTTGCTCTCAATGATTTTCACAATATCTGTGATATCGATTGCTCATAAGCCGATTGAGACCAGTGGGGCAACCTGCACCTTCACCAAGGACGACGGCCAACACCCATACGCTGGTCATCATGACAAGTGAAAATTGGGGCATGGCGGATACTTCAACTGCAATCGTTATAGCCCCTTCATAGTAATTACGTGGGTGACTGGCTTCCTTGCTCCTCCTTCCCAAAGCAGCAACCTCCACTATGTAGGCAACTTGGTTGATTTGCCTATATGCAGGAGACTATAGAGTTAAGTCCGACGATATGTGCAGGATGTCCAGCCGTCTGAGACACCGACTTAGCGGTTACTGCATAGCTCACACGCATTAAGTTGTTACCTAACATCTCGTTCATATTACCGGACTTGACGAGACTCGTTCGTGATGCATATATATTTGATGAATACCTCTTTCTTCCCCATAGAATTATCAATTTCTCACTAGCTGTACCTTTTTCAGCCTGCTGCATTCGTGGGTCAATGAGATGTTGCTTGTAACAACAGTATTCATGATGCCCCTGACAGTCTCGATATTCACACTTTACGTATAGAATTCATAGACTCGCACAGTTTCATTGGCCAGCGCATGTGATTGGCGGATTCCACGTGCTCAAAACCGGGACAGTCAGTCTGCAGGAATGTGTGGTGACATGAAATTAAGGTGCTTACTAGTGACAAAGCCTATAAGTCAGTGAATGTCTACTGAACACACCGCTTCACTAAGATAGAGAAGCCAAATCATTGAAAAACGCACGATTGAAATCATTTTGAATATGAACGCAGGTTCAAGGTAACTTCGGTAGCAAAATAGAGCGGAATGCAAGCTGCATCGAGAAGGCCTGTCCTGTGCCACCATTTTCAAAATATGTGAACGAGTTTGGGATAGATGCTTGGTCCACCTATATAGCGTATGGAAGGTCAGACCTGGATCACAATAGATTTTAAAACTGCATCAATTCATCGCTAGTCATTGATAGTCTCTGCTTCATAGCTAAAGACCGCTATAATCGGATTTAGGATATTATCTTGATGCTCATTTGGCCCATCCATCCGTGTAGCAGCCGTGTTGGGTTCGTGCATCGGCATATCGCATCTCATGACAGTGACAGCAAATAGCTCTTCCTTTGTTGATTTAATAGTACATTGCCCTCGTAGTGAAATGAGAATGTCATTTCCCGTAAATGTCCCATATTCCCGCTGGTTCTCCATTAGTGGCTCCTTCCTCATCGCCTTGAGACTAAGGCTTTCATTGCCTTAGGTCTCTTCCGTGGCCCGAACACTCAAATAGAGGCGAGAAAGCTGATAGCTAGAGCCATCACCGTGAGTCCAGTGATAGTGGGCGTCCGTGATGGGCTGTCACTCGTGTTTGCTGCTATAATCGTGGCATTCTTCCCATTCTGCCTTAAGCAGTTTCCAAAGTCGGTCGTGACGGTGTCTTTATTTGAATAAGTTGAGGGCACTTCACACCAGAGATAGCAGGTGTCCACTATGTTTACTGCGTTCGGGGAACAGCAAGCCACCATAGCAGCATCAGATGTGTTTTGACCCGGTGTGATAACATAGTATGTGTCATCGGAGATGGGCAAAGATGCCAGCTCCGGAATGAAAGTGGTAGAGCATGTTACATTCGACATTGTCTCGATTGACTTGTATTTAGGTGAAGCAATCGGATGGATTAAGATTTTGGGTTGAAATGGCGTGGCCGTACAAATAGACCACAAGTGGAGAGCAGCGCTTTTTAATGATGAAGGAGGTTATAGGTGGTTGTTGCGGCCTGCTCTGCGATCCACACCAGTGCACGGCTGAGACCGACCTATGACGTGTTTTGGGCTGAATTGAAGGAGGCCAATGTTAATAACCGTTGGAAAAGCGACAAGGGCGCCAAGGCGCAGCCATATAAGTGGGTGTTTCCCCGTGCGCTGTGCCACGAAGGATCGAATGATCAGCGTAGGCGCCCCCAGCTGGGAGAGCTAATCAGTCACAGATGATCTGATAATAACGAGCGGAGCGTCAAGAAGTCTTCCCCGTGCATTCACTCCAATTACCGCCTTATTTGCGCTCACGACTACCATTTGATAGAGGAAGTTAGAGGTCCATGTCCATCGCGAGATACTGAACGTGAATCGAATTTGTTACAAGACCGTCAGTGGTCTATTTGGTTGCAACTCATTTGGTATCGTGAGCTGAATTGAGAAGCTTATTACGTCTCAATGGTTTCCATTCACGGCTCAGACCGATGCAGACTGGATGAGCATTTCATGCAAAAAGCCGTAGCTTTATATCGGCATCTTTAGCTGGGGAAAGAAGCCACGTTTTTTGCAATCGAGACTACATTCCTTGGGGATTTAAGCTTATAAATAAGTTTCTTGGCTAAGAGATGTAGCGTAGGTATCATTTCGGATGACATCAAACTGAACTAGATGTGGCACAGCGATAGACCTCCTGACAAGCGCACACATTGAAGTTCTTTACTTGGCTGTGATCAATGCCTAGTTGAATCTGGGAAGCTTACAAGCCCCTTTCCAGCCACAAAAGTCGCATACCATGGAGCATTGGTCTTGCCCTCTGCTAAAGGCAGATAAAACTCGGCAGCCGCACTCCCTGATATTGCTTGCCCTACTGGTTGTCCTTCGGGACTTCTCTCCTCTGCGAAGTAGAAGCTTTTGAATATCAGCAAAAGGTAAACTTACGCCTTGACAGACCATTTATGCAGACTCACCTATAACCCTTGTCCTTATACATCAGTGCCGCCACACCAACCCAATAGGCTGCAGCGCTCTTTCCAACGCCCAGAGTGACAATATCCGCAACCGGTAGGACGACTGAAGCCTGAATGTTGCCGGTGTAGATGAAAGATATGGGGATGTCCTTGCTGATGGTTTCAAATCCAGCGACCGCCTCCCGAGCGGCGACGAAAGCACTCGTGTTCATCATAGTCATATCATTCTCCAAAGCCTCTATCGGTACAGAGAACGGATTACCTGAGTCCGCTGCAGGTGAGACATTAGCAGCGTTGTAGACAACGACGCTTGGACTCGCTCCTAGCTTCTCTTTGACTGTGGTGAAAATGGAAGGTATTGATGATGGTTTGCTAAGGTCGCCTTTGACTTGGAGATAACCCTCGGGCGTTGTCGCGCCATTGGGAGCACTGCGAGAAACAAGGGCAACTTTGTATCCTGCGGTGCCGAAGCTTTTTGCAAGGCTGAGGCCTATGTTTTTGCCGGCGCCTAGGACGAGAAGTATTTTTGAGGACGACATGACGACTTGCTCTGAAGGGTGTAGTTGGGAGTCAAAGTAGCGGCCTTTCTTTGGAGAAGACTGATGCAAGACGAAATGTCTTTGTCTCTGATACAGTTCACATCAAGACTTTCAAAGATTTTTGAGGCTCTTATATCAAGACCCTCAATTGGCATGCCGTGTGCTTGCTGACTGTGCCTTTCATCCAGTCCTCTCTAATCCATCTAGATCAAGTAAGTGGTGTGGGTTGTGGTGCATCTTGGGAACCCCGCGCTATGCTGGAAAAGGTAACGCCTGGCGTGTGTCTCGGCTTGGCCTGGACATGGTACGGTATCGAACCGGTCTTAAGGGCCCTCTACAGCATCGTAGCTTAGCAATCCGCAACTAAACCACTGCTGCTCTCCACACTTTCGCTGCATGACTAATTATGCTGCATTCAGCCACCATGTGGTCGTTACTAAGCTCATACTTGCTGCTTCAATTCATCATGTCTACAATGAACTTTCATATCGACGTCATACCAATCAATCGCGTGGTCAGCACTTTGATGTTCTACCGAATCCGATCCATTAGTCATGAAGGACGATGAATTCTATTGTGAACAAGTCACGATTCCCTTGAACACTATGGGGACTCGGCTCTGCGTTATCTCTGTGAGTTGGAAGCTGTGAATCCATTCCTCAAAGCATCAGTGAGAGTCGAAGCTCGTGGTGATCTAAGTCTTCATGCAACACGCCACCTTCGACACTTCACTGAGCTGTGTAAGAGACTGGAACAATCATACAGCTCCAGATTGCTATACACCCTGTTAAAATACACATGCCGAACGCCGCCGCTTTTGGAAGATGATAGACCCCGTTGCCCGCTTGTCTATACGGCGATGACCGCACTCGCACTCTCGGCACTACCGGGCTGATTGACGCCTTGCTTGTCTTTCAAGAAGCAATTTCCGCCCTGCGCGTTCACGATCGATGTTAAGTTAGAGTTGTAGGTCACTGCTCGACATTCCGTGTCGCCGTCTGATATCGCTGAGTTGTAGCTGAGGCAGTACTCCATGCAATCCTCGAAGGTGTACAGCGTGGTGTACGCCAGGTCCTTGACGGTTCCGTTGCCGCTCGCCGCCTCGTCGCCATTGTACCAGTCGGTGAAGCAGTACATGGTGAAGCGAGCCGAGTCACCTTCGGCGGTGTAAGTTCGTGGCGTGGTGAAGTTGCATGAGTTGGCAGCAATGCCAGTGGTGCCACTCGTCACTGCCGTCGGCGATGAAGATGTGGAAGACGATGTGGATGACGACGTGGTGCTCACGGAAGACGTGGCTGATGAGCTTGTGATCTCGCTGGCAGGAGCACTGCTCGTTGAACTGCAAGACGTATTAGCACTGTATTTGGCGATGAGAAGGGTGCTCTGCTCTGATCACTCACCTTGAAGTCGGCGAAGAGCTCTCAGTGTGAGCATGTGAGCTGCTCAGGCCAACGCCGAGCCCTACACCGAGGCCAACGCCCAAGGAGAGGATCAATAGCACAGCTAGAATCCAGAACCACAGGACAGGTAGGCCAAGTATGCGCTTTCTTGAAGCTTCATACTTTCGGACGACCTCGGGCGCGTCCGCCGGGTTTTGCTGGCTGGGATGCGGGTAAGGTACCCAACCTTGGTTTTGAACGTAGATTTTGCCGCCGTCGCCCTCCACAGTCGTGGGCGGCACCGCCTCAGGGAGGTTGGGATGCGCAACCTCGGGTAGGTTGTTGTGCTGCCGCGGAGGACTCTGGATGTACTCGGGCCCGTAACTGTGCTGTAGCCCGTCCATTGGGACCTGGCGGGACACTTTCGAGTCGCTCATCGATTGGAAGTCGGAAGTCTCACGGCAGAGGATTGGAGAGGAACTGGGAGGGAGGAGGGCAAAAAGGAAGAAGACAGTCGTGGGCGACGCGGATCGCTGGCCATTGCGCTCTATCCCTGACAAATGGGCGGCAGAGCCATCGGTTTGTGCAACCTCGAGCCCATGTGTTCCCAGTCAATGCCGTGCGGTAAGCGCTACAAGAATCCTTACAAGGTACAGGATCCGCCAAGTTGGAAGGATCATCGCGTAGTTAACGGACGGCGCCGATAAAGCATTTTGGTGTAGTCTGGCCTACCCCAAGGGGCTCAAACAGGCTAACAAAGCCACAACGGTTTCGGGATGATCCCGTCCATGCGGTAGATACCTCGATAAAGCTGGCATCTAGCTACCCAAGAACACGCTGTTTGACTTTTTCAACTCATTTTCTCGAGTTATTTTGGCAATTGGATCTTTCGATGGGCGCAATCTCCTGCAAAATTTAAAGGGGAATTGCTGGCTTGGCGAGTGAAGAGCCTGGTGTGGAGAGGATTGGGCGATGAGTGGGCTCCAATCCTCGACCATTATATCTCGCCAATGCACCTCTGTGGCACAGCTCCACAGAACCTTAACAAGTAGCCCAGCGCATTGGTTGAGTCCCTGCGGGACTGAGATGGCGATCTGGAGATTTGCAAGCCACCAATCAGCCGAACAAATCCCGGAGATGCCTCAGAAAAACTATTCAAGATATCGGCAATCTACCTGCATCTGGGTAGTCTGTGAGAAGATCATTGATCGTCTTCAAACTTCGCAACTGGACAATTGACTGGGGCGGTACTTGCATCCATCTAACTACACACTACGGTAGGATAAGACGACCAACTCCATCGCCGATAGCCACAGATGATACCATACGATATGCTGTATAAAGTGGCGAGGTTAAAAGCTAGTGTCAAATTTCTATGTGTCGCTCAAGCCACGGTGAGTCTAGATAGTATTTTCCAACCAAATGAACGTAGGGCAAGGCAAATACAAGTTGAAGAGCTATTTCACACTATTATAAGCCATCTGTTCATGACTATAGAGTGACTTTCGCCACTACTTTCGACCATCAACTCGCTGTTTCGACGTTGCTTAATCTTCTCTCTGGATGATAACATCATTGTCTCGATGCCAAGGCTAATGAGCGTCAGATATCAGGGGACTATATCAACTGGCTCTCGTCCGATGCCTGGCTTTTACTTATAAGATCACTGCTCAGCCTTGATGGAAGAATTAATGTTATGTTGAGTTGATAAAACGGTTACTGTAACTCATCACATGAATTCACCCTTGGGATCAGACCACACCAAATGCTGACAGTCTACGACCTTGAATGCGGAAAGTCTCTCTGCAGCCCATAAGTCATCTTATACAAGCTTCTCGATCAAAGTTTACGCGTGCTTGATATTGTTAAGCATATAGGTTGCTATTAGTATTATGATATAATTTTCTATGACAGCGCTCAGTATATCAAAATCCCAAACCCCTATCCCAAACGCTCAAAACCCATCCGCAACCGTATTCATTCCTCACAACACGGCACTCAAGCTATGCACCGGCAGCACAAACGCCGTCGTGGCCGGCTCGATCGCCGTATCCGCCGTGGCATTGTAGCGCGTCTGGCCCTCGTACCAGATGTGCGCCGCCTTGACGTAGATCAGCGCCTGGTCCTCGCCCGTCTCCCAGATCGCCTCGACGCGCGAGCCCGCGGGGCCGTCCGCGACCGCCGACGCCGGCTCGCACTCCCTCCAGCCGTTCTGGATGTAGACGGGCGTGCAGAACACCGCGAAGCCGGGCGCCCCGGGCACGTAGTCCGCGGGCGCGCTGAGGTTGTACGCGGCGATGCAGCCGCCCGGGGAGCACCCGTGGTTGAAGTTGGTGACGCTCCAGTCTGCTAGCGAGGGAGGCTCTGAGGCTCGGCGAGGGATGCTCGCTGTGGAGGCTGCCGTTGCGGCGAGGACGAGGGCGAACAGGTTGGTGGACATGATTTTTGATGTATTAGGCTGTGATAAGACTGATGAATATTTGTAAACAAGTGAGAGATTCTTGGCTGCGAAGTTGATAGCTATGATACTCTTATATACGAGTGGAGTTGTTGAAAATAATGACGGATCGAACATAGAAAAGTCGGAATCTGCCAGTCTTATACTCATGTCCCTACATCACCGCTCACCGTCATCTCGCCGGCTGTGCATGGAAAGCCTCGATGCGTCTTCCAAACTCCGCAGCTATTCTTGTCCCACCCCAGAGATGTCAGCGGTGTAATATCCGTGGCAAATGCAACGTGTGGCTATCAGCATAAACATTTCCTATGCCTTCACACGCGCAGCTCGTTCAGCAAAGCGACAAAGCTAAGCTGTTGTGGCTGGTGGAGCGCAGATCCGTGAGATATGACAGCAGCCAAGCTTCTCACACGAGGTCGACCACTTGCCCTATTGCGTTGCGCGCGCACCCGATAGCCTGTTTCCCAATACGAGGCCGCTCAGCCTCATCAGTTTAGCAGTCAGCCGCAGCCCTGTCCTCGGGGCTCGGAGCGTGGGGAGGATTCGATTTCATTCAGTACTTCGGCATAGTTCGCTCGGATTGCGATCAAGCTGACGTCTTGGCAAGATGCTGCTGTGTCTGCGGCAGGACTATAACATAATTGCCGGCGGAACAGCCGCTGGGCTGACTATCCTCTTGACTTCGTTGCTTACCGCCTGTTTCTATTTGGAACAGGTAACATTAGAGGACTCTTGGATGAAAGTAGAGAGCCAGGCTCGAGGTTCACTCTTCTCATCCAGCTATGCGGAACTGCCAACTGTTACTAGCTGCAGCTTTTTATCAATGTCGCAAGAAATCGCCGAGGTAGAACCAAGCTTGATCACTTCCTACATGAAACCGCCTAAATCACAGTATATCATCGATTATAGATGTCTTTTGGGATGCAGGTGTGTAGCAATTTCTGCACTAAAACGCAAATCTAGGTCGGTCAAGTCACACTTTCGGAGAGATTCGAAATCTCCAGGCAGGTGTAAAGAGGCCCAATATCCGACCATCTATGAGTAATGCCCGGCCAAACTCCGCTTACAAGATCAAATGTACGAACCCAAATCAAAACCCTGGATGATTGGTCATGTTTTGTTTTTTTCTGTTTCACCGTTTCCTTTTGTTTATATCCACCCGCCTTTGCAAGATCAATGCACCAAAGCATAAGCTATACTTTTTCCACCCTGTCGCGCTCCGTTCCTGGCAGTATCTACTCGGAGATCTTGGACATTCTCTTGGACATGCTGTATATATTGTCAGCTTCAAAGATTGGTATGATGCGAGGATGGTTACTCACAAGTCGTAGAAAGCAAACTGGCTCGGCTGGCTGCCAAACTCGTAGACGAATCGGCTGGCCAGGTAGCTGCCGAAGATAGCGCAGAGATACGTATCCGGAACGCGCTCGATGATCGTCTCGAGACCGATCTTGTCGAGCAGCAGCTTCGGCAGCGCGTCCTTGAGCACCGCCTTGCGGATGCGCTCGTTCTTCCACAGGTCGGAGTGCTGGAGCTCCTCGTCCAGAGTCGTGATGGCGACGGACAGCTTGTCGGACAGTACGGAACGGGCGACGCCGGTCTGCTCGTGCTCGCGCCAGATGGCCTCGAACTCAAGGCGCGCGTTGTCGCAGATCTTGGCCTGGACTTCCTTGACGTATGCCTGGTAGAACTCGGGCGCCTTGCCGCTCTTGTCGTGGCACATGTGCGTGACGAAGCCCTCGTCGTCAAAGGAGAGCGACGCAAGGACCTCTAAAGAGGACGAAGTCACACCGCCCTTGTTGGCGCTGGCGTCCTTGAAAAGAACGCAGCCCGCAGACTCAAGGCGCAACTTGGCGTCCTGGGTAATGAAGAGGTTGGCACCTTCCACGATGTATGGAATGACCGCCTTGCCATCCTTGATGAGCTTGTTCGCAGAAACGAGGTCGATCGACTCCGGCCGGCCACCACACGGGACGAACATGTCCGTTAGGCCCGTGTCACGCAGGTGATACGTGTTGCGGAACGTTGTGCCGTTGGCAACGAATTCTCCGGTGGGGAGCTTGACGTTCATGTCGTCGCAGAGTACGCGGAAGCCATCCTTTGACAGTTTGGACATGTCGAACTGAGCGATCATAACCCGCTGCTTGGCAAGGCGAGTGAGCTCCTCCTTGTCAATTCCATTGGGGTCAACAAGGACACCGGAGCCGTCAACGATGGAGGTGTACTTCTCATTGCTGAGCAGGATCTCGTTGCTGCCAAGGTCGCCATCCGGACCACCAGTCTGCATCTTCTTGACCTTGGAAGGATCCAAGTTCAGCTTGCGGTACACACCCTTGACGTACTCGCGGACTGACAAGGTTGTCATGCCGTAAGAGTCGTGCGGGATGCCACCGAGCTTGGGTGACTTGCCGGTGAAGAACGACTTCCACCATGGCGCACCACGGCTTCGAGCATGCTCGGTAGCCCAATCAACAAGGTCGGCAGTGTTCTCATCCGGGCCCATGAAGATGATCTCTTGCTTCCCGTACAGGTCAACAATCGGGTTCTTGATTCCTGGCGTCTGAGCAGGGAGGAGCAGGTCCAGAATACTGTCAATGTACTTCTCGAAAGCCTCTGCCGCCTTGTCCTGCTGCTTGGGATCAAGAAGAATGACGCCCTTGGAGCCGCCTTCGGGGATGTCCTTGTTCTTGCGCTGCTGCGTGCTGGCTAGGCCGTAATTTTCATCAAAGAGGTTGCGGGCATTGATGGCGTACGCCTCTTTGCTGCGAGACTTGACAATGCGGATACCGCCTCGGGCAATGTCCTTGAAACGAAGATGGAACCCACGAGACTCGGATGTGATGACAAGGAACATGCCAAAGAGGGGCTTTGAGTACTCGAAAGAGGGTAGGAACGAGGGATCAAGGCGGAAGCTCAAAGCCACCTTGGTCGGGGTGAAGTAGTTGGTCTTCAGGATGGCGTTGTTGAAGACGCGGAAGGCAGTCATGACCATCTCTTCGTGCTCATTGGAGACTTCTCGAGTGATTCTGTCCTTGAGCTTTGCGTCCGACAAGACCTCGACTGCTGGTGTAGGTGCAATAAAGTGGCGTTCAAAGCCAGGGCCGACACTCAAGTGGACGCTGGCGAACGAGGCGTACAACGCACGTACAAGACCGGGATACGAGGTGATGATCTCGAGAATGTAGTCTGGCGTGAACGTCTCCGTGCGCAGACGCCGCTTCAGCTTCGACAGGATTTCTGCATGCGCGGGGTTCTTCCGGTCGAGTGCTTCAGAAAGCGAAGCATATTCTGTGCCCAGACGGTTGAGGAAATGTTGGACGAAGACCCACACGCAGTGTCCATAGATAGCTTCCTGGAGGCTGAGCTCCCCCGACGCAAACAGGGTGTGAAGCTTGTTCTGAGGAATGCAGTACAGCAGAGAAATTTCCTTGGTGATTTGATGAATGGACTGCTCAAGAGGAGGATACTTGGCCTCTAGGTTGGTAGCAGGCTTGAGGTAGATACTGATGACAGTGATGCCATTGGAGAATTGCTCGACATACTTTCGGGAGCTGGTGACACCATAGTAGTGGTATAGGTCAGACAGGGCGCTGAAGAGACCTCGGGCCGTTCGCGAGCGGAAAGCAACGACCAGGCGCTTCTCTTGAGAGCCTTCGATATCAAAGACTTCAATCACGGGGCCGGTACGGTTGACAGCCAGCTCGATGATTTCTTGGTAGATCTGCTTCGTGTTTTTGGTCGCCTTGGCAAGGAACATCCGGTCGCTAATAACTTCCAGGCGGGCCTCATGAGGGTCGGCTTTAGGATCTACAAACTGACACTGGTATACGAAATAGCAGCGTAGAGAAGCCTTCGAATCGGACTTGTCGCCAAGCACGCCAGGAGAACGGAAGGTTTCGACACGGAATCGCTTGCTGGTGTCGGTGCCATCGAGGTACTTAGACTCCAACCTGCCTTCGTAGCGCGGGCCACCGATGGCGCTCTTGCCTGGCTCACTTGTGTCGATGTAGATGGCATGGTCACTGGCTTCCATGTCGAGGCGGATCTCTTCCCTCTTGTCTTCCCTGGAGTAAGCCGCCACCTTGGCAGCGTAGAGCGAAGAGATGTGATCGGCGATGACATTAGGTCTCTCAAGCTGGAAGTAGACATCGTCGATGCCTAGCTCATTGTAGAACCAGGCAATCTGAGCATCAACAAGCTTCTCCGGAATCCAGCCGGCTTTGTTGATCTCTGCGTTGACTAGCGAGGACATTAGCCAAAGCTCAACTAACTAAAGGGTAGCCACTTACCCTGCTTCATTTGTTCTGCCTTCCCCTTGAACTCTGGCGCGACATATCCGACCGTAGCCGACCGCATAACTCTGTGTCCATTGCCATTGGCCCTTGATAGGACAGGGACGCTGAAGTGTGTTGGCTGGGGAGAGGGGTGACGCTCAGGGTCAGCTCTAAGCTTCTCAAAGAGCTTGCTGGAGGGACTCGATGCCACAGGAGACGCCATGATGTCGTCGACGTATGTGTCACCAGAAGACTCGAAAGGGTCTATGTAATCGGGAAAACTAGACAGGGGCAGGTCAGTCGTCTTGATGGTTAAGACCGGGGGCATTGTATGGGCAGCCATGGTGCCAGCAAGGGAGAGGAGGAGAATATAGGAGAGAAGTAGCCCGAGGAAGGCGGCCCTTGGGGAAGAGGTGCAGAGAAAGAAGAGGCGAAGGGGCACCGAGGGACGGGTCTCAGATGCTTTTGTATGTATACGATGGGCATCGTAGATCTGGTGTCCACTTGGACTGCCATGTCTGTCTGATAGCTCATCTGAGTCACCGGTATCGCGATATCAATGGCAGATAGCACGAGGATTGCGATTGTCAAAAGCAATGAGCAAATTCCAATGGGCGGTCGACGTATCAGACGAGTGGTCCGCCCATCGGATAATTCAGGAAGAGGACAATATCAGACGAGGGAAGGATGGGAGCGCGAACGGACAGGTCAGACCGCAGCGCAGGAGCAGCAACAGGAATAGGAACAGGAACAAACGGCACATGGGACACTGGTCGCAAGCCGCGTACACGTATTCTCAGTCTAAACGGGGAGATTACGGGAGACAGATCTGCCGCTGACTGAGTGATTCGCGGTTGAGGCCAGGTCCCATGGAACTTGAAGACGGAAGGTCTAAACTATGAGGAACGAGGTACCTCTGCTGGGTACAGCAGCTCAACTACTATTGAGCCGATGGCGTTGTGTGTGTATGGTCATGTTGCGCTGCTACCCGCTGTGCTGGCTTGGGACGGCCAGGATAGGGCCGGAGCGTTTCGCTCACCGCTTGGAGCTCGTGCTTCCGGGGCAAGATAAGGACACCGCACCTTGGGCGAGTGTGCGCACCTCCTTTATTTTTGTTCTGTGCTTGCTCGTGTTTTGGGGATTGGATGATCCATGGCCATGGGGAAGAGAGATCTGAGACCGAGCGAGACGTGCAGTACATACCTTCTCGACTAAGATAGTGTGCGGATCCGCTCAATCGCAGCAGCCCAGGCGAAACGGGCCGTGTCAGTCGCTGATAAAGCGGCAGCCAAACGGATAGCTGCCTTTATTCACAAGTGAAGATCTGGACAAATAGGAGCCTCTTGTCCTGCTCACTTCTCGGCAAATGCGAGATGCCGACTGTCGTTGTCGGTGAGGAATCGAGCCAAGGACCGCCTTAACTTGTAGGTGGAAATAGAGGGGCAGTCAGAGGAGCGCGGCGATTGTCTCGAAAAAAAAAAAAAAGAAAAGGCTGTTTATAGAGGATCAATTGAACAAAGAAAGAAGTTGGCGGATAGAGTGAAGTCAGATAGTTATGAGGTTGGTGAATGAATCAGGGCGAATTAAAGATAAAAGATAATGAGTTGAGACAACAGCTGTTCAGCTCTCTCTGGTCAGAACAGGATATATGGTAGGAGGAGGAGGTGGTGATGATGATGACGATATAATGTAGGTGTGTGCGTCGCGCGTTCCTGCGTTTCCTGTTATTTGAGTTAGTCTTAGAGGCGATCCAGGCCACTCAGGCACAGTATTGTACAGTACAGTACACGAGACAGGCGGCAACAGGGGAGAGAATCTGGGAGGGAGAGGAGGGGCACTACTATGTAGGTAGACAGACTACTGGGAATCGCTCGCATGGCATTGATGTCAGCCCCGCCAGGGGTCCCAACAGCAGAGATAGCTCCATCGGCTAGCAGAGCTCCCAGCGAGCCAGCGTAGAATTAGAAGCATGGAGGGGCTCGAGGGGCCAGCACAGCCCCAAGGGGACCCTTCAGCAATACGCCACAATCCATGCTTTCTGGAAGCCTGCAAGACAGAGAGACAGCGCTGCACAGAACACGGGCTTGACGGGGGGCAGGCATCGCGGCGCGTCCACTCGGGATCAGCGACAACTTGACTAGCCAAGATGTGTGCAAGGGCAAGGGCAAGGACAGACGCGTGGGTACGTGTTGTGTTGTGCTGTGCTGTGCTGTGCTGCTGTGTTTTGGATTGAGTTACCTTTTGTTTCCGCAGGGAGACTGGTAGATAGGTAGGTAGCCGACCGCCCTGTTCCAGGTTGTGAGAGGTCAGAGATAAAAGGGTGCTGGGATCCGAATGGTTGATTCCAGTGCAATGGGAGGGAGCGCAGCTGAAAATAGTATCGGCTATTCGCGCCACTCGCTGATCACGAATTGGCAGGTTCGTGTCAGTCAGGTGTGTTTTATGTGTTGGCGAGGAGGAGGATGATGATGATGTCAGGGGTAGACAGAGAGAGGGAAAAGGGGGGCTCTCAAGCAAAGCAAAGCAGAGCAATGCTGCTGTTGTTATCTATAGCATAGTACTGTAGGAATACTACAGTAGATAACTGGGGAGAAACTAGACGGTTGGGAATACGATGGCTTTATATGTTTAATTCTCCGAAACACGTACCGTACGTCGTCACTCAAGAGTCAAGGTTTTTTTTCCAGGTTTCCATTTCGTTCCCCTGAGGATCGTTGCAATTGCGAATCTGTACGTACTCTATGTACCGCACGCATGTACCTTTCGCGTCCATCGTGAACTTGAAGTATCGTAGACGGTACGTACCCCAAAAAAAAGGACGTACCCATACCGTCTTTTATGTCCGTTTCTTTCCAAGGTATGTACAGCTTACAACCCATAGCCCCGGGCGGACGAGCAAACTCCCTCCCCATGGCCATGGCAACAAATGGTGCAAGAATGAGCATCCCTCCATCCATCGGCAAAAAGAGAAAACTCTGAACAAAAATGCCCCAGACTTTGCAGCATCGTGATCTCAACTTGCCTCATAACTGGCAAAGCGACTCGCCCCTAAGCCCCTTGGAGATGGAGGCTGGTCTCTCCAATTGGTGCGTCGGCTCAGGTACCTGACAGACTGGGGGCGCTAACGCAGCCCGTCCAGCCCAAGTGTCCCCAAATGCTCCCTTAAGAGGACATGGCTTGTTGTGCCCTCTCCACAGTCCAACCTGGAAGTACATCACATGTCCCCATTCCGCTGGGCTCGCGGATGGACCGGTTATTCGAGGCTCTAGGCGTATTCGAGCTGCCCTTTTGCTGCGAGTTTGCATCAACCGCATCAATCTGTTTGCCAAAGGAGGAGTTGGGGACGCCCCAGGGCCGTCTATTCTGACTGATCATTGTTGCGATTCCCCGGGGCCAAATGCACGCTCCCTGCATGAGGGAGGAGGTGCCTAAGGCGTACCTCCCTCGATGGATGCTTCCCAAGGCTCTCATCGTCCCAACACATGCTCTCCTGTTACTGGCAGGGCGCCGTATTGTACTTGTTGTGCCACTGACAGACATGTGGCTGCCCAGGCCCCCTTGTCCTGTTGTGTTGTGTTCCCTGGCTGATTCTCCTGGCCCGCCGCTTCGGCACGTTCCCATTTGCTTAACGTCGAGTTCCCGGACAAGCAAAGTGATCAATTATCGTATTGTATTTATTGTATTGCAGGCAACCGATCCTTCCCTATGGAGCTACGAAACTAAAGACACATCCGCCAATTTCATGTTGCCGATTTGCATGGCCGTGAAATGGTACCTTGTTCCCATCATCTTCAGAAATGCAAGACGGGAGGAAAGCCGTGATTTCGCCGGTGTCACAGACGGGAAACCCCCGAGACGGCCGGAATATCAGAATCCGCCGCGCCTTACGGTGCCCAGGTGAGCTCCACTCAGGGCACCTTTAGAGGCTTTAGTGTCTTGCTATGCAGTAGCTAAGGCAGGCCTTGCTCCAAGATACCTAGGCGTGCTAGGTAGAAGGTAGAGCTCTTATCAACACGTCTCAGAAACTTGTCGCAAACCCGAACTTTCTTTTGTCCCAAACGAGTCAGCCGGTGCCAGTAGTTTGTCTGACCGTCGTGTCGCTTACCGCTCCTTTGCTCGGCTCGACGGTGCCATCAGGGTTAATTTGATGGGTTAATTTGATGGGTTTCGTGGCACAGGCGGGCGCCATCGTCAGTCAACCTTGAACCTTGAAGTAAGCTCCAAAGGTATGTATCTTTGCCGGCCTTGTTCGTCAACGCAAGGGTCAGATTCGCAAGAATGGATAAGTCGGTATGGTTAATGACATGTATGCCCTCGAGCTCGAGGATGGATCGTGACCTGTCTGATGTGTCAAATGTACCGCCTCATCACGTAAGAGGAGGCCTCGTCTCGCCCTCTTGCATCTCTTGATCGGGCTTCGTCTCCGCAGCTGGCCTTGCTGGCCTTGTTGGCCCAGTGGTCGGCGATGCGTCAACTCCAGCGGCTGACCCACCTGCCCCGCGCTTAGGAGATTAGCATCCACCGCAGGCGACAGTTCCATGGCTTCTCGAGATTTCCATTACCCCCAGATTACTTGATCGCGGTCCGGAATTGTGCTGGCCTGCAGGCGACATTACCAAACCATTAATGCCGTCTGGGGTAGAACGGGACGGATTGATTCGATGGCAAGGCAAGGAGGGCCCTTTGCGCCATGCTGGTCCCGGCAGACCTCATTCATGATGACAGGCTGCGTTTGCTGCGACTGTACCTAACTACTTGCATCGAAACGGAAAGGAAAACGAGACGGACAAACACAAAGACACCAAAAAGTCAAGTCATTGACCGCTCCCATGCCGGTTCGACCGGCAGAGCGGCTCCGGAGCAACCAGCATCGCCCACCGGGTCCCGTGCCCCGCATCTGGCACGCGGTTGGGATTCTTGGAGACATCACGGGGACTGCAAAGGAGATTGCGACGCGCCCCTATTCCTCGCTGACACCTGGCTCTGCATCCTGATTCCTGAACCAGCCTCAGACCTCAGTGTCTGCACGACTCGGTGTTCTTGTCTCGACCGCCAGAGCGAGATTGCAAAGTGTTCACTTGACCAAAGAACCCCGGTGGCACCTAGCAGGGCCCGGAATGACAGTCACTACTCTGGTAAGCTCGTGCGGTAGGTACCGGCTGCCACTGGGGCTCCAGGTCTAGGCCCAGCCGGAAAGGCTTGTGACCCAGCTGCGTGACGACCTATTTTTACTCCCCGTGCTAAGAGGCAACAGACTCTCGCAAGCTCGGGCCCGTTCCAGGTACATACGAGGACACAGCCATGCCTTTCTAAATCCAAAAAAACGAACTGCTCACATAATTCAAAATTGCGCTCCGTATCAATTGCTAAAAATTACAGCGGTGCAAGTCCACGAAAGGGCACTGCACTACGTCTGGGCCTATCTTCGGATAGCGCGCCCGAGCTGCAATCCTCGGATGGGAACCCCGAGCGACCTCCCAGCTGCATGCCGCTCGCTGTAGCTAAAACAGGGTGGATATGCTATCGCTATCAGTAAGCTCACAGGCGGAGATCCACCTCCGTGGCAAGCCCAAAACCTTACCCCATTACACAGTACAAGCCACAACACAGGGCCTTTTAACTTGGGCCACTTGATACTTGAGTTACTAACAACCTCACGCTGAACAAACGCAACCGCAATCGTCTCCCCATCACAGGGCAGCAAATCGATGCAAATTGATATTTGTTCTTGCAGCGATGTAGCTGAGAACTATGTGCATCTTCTCACTTCGCACAATTCCAATCCTACAAACTCTTGCAAGAAAATCACGGTCTCTATCTTCTTTCCATTTGTAGGTTCGATCACAAATGTTCGGCATCTCATTTGCGTCAATGGGGTCGTCCCTTGGGGTTCCTCTCTTACCTTACCACTGTTCATTTGCGAGCTTGATCGCAACGCCGTCTGAATGGAAGGACTCGTTTCCATCTCTCGAGTCGCCACAAATTTGCTAGCAAGCCATGAAACTATGTGTCGTGTCCTCGTTGGGTGCTGTTTGTTCTGCGGCGGTGACACAGAATCGTTGAACAAATCATCCAAGTGGGTGTGGAAAAGCCACCTTTGCAGACACATGATGCATCCCTTGCAGCAGCGTGATCATGCAATATGAGACCATAGTTGCGTCAAGTTGCAATCGTTCGGGATAACCCTAACTTCAACGACGAACGTCGTTAATAAGTGGTTATCAAGGCGTCTCTGGTATTTAGTTGCCAGTTTGGAGGCTTTTCCTGAACCGTAGAACGTCTCAGGAAGACTCTTGTGATTTGAAGTATGGAGCAATGAATTTCACCCAAGCAAATTCCTCAACAGGCTTTTACAGACTGGAAAGTCCCAGCTTTGATAGTCCATGATAGTGATTCGATTGAGATACATTGGATTTCTATCATCGAGCCATGTTAAGCTGCTCGTGTCAGAGACTCATCAGGTGTTGTCTCAAGTATGAGGACAGGGGACTGTGGTCTAGCCTGGAAAATATTCCTTCGAATAACCTAAGCATCTTTGATGTCAGTTCAAACGAGTGCTTTGTAATAATAATCATGAACACTCATGGTGCAATATTGTGTTTAGTCCTCTCTGAAACTCGCTTGTCTATGTTGAGAGTGCAATTCATGATTGGCTCGCTTGGCCGTTCTGCCTAACTTTGTGGGGTTTCCCTAATTTCCCTTCTGATTTCACCTTGAGATCTCAACTTTCCACTGCTTCCTGGGTCTCTCCAAAGCCATGAGAACAAAAGGGAATGCAAAATGAAGGCAAAGGCTCCCAAAAGGGCCATGTTGGCCATATTTCTTCTCATCAGTCAGGCTCTAACTGTGCATCTGATGAAGATCATTGATGTAGCCGAGTACGTCGAGCGCCGCGTGTCTCAACCCGAGGAAAATTTATCTCTACTGAGGGTGGATGCCAAGCCCCAAAAGGCCATTATTCGTCAACTGAACCTACTCATGGATAACTCTCGGCAAGTTGTTGGGCCATGTCACGACCTCGATGGGGTGTGCGATGCACCACCCTACCCATTGTTCCCGTTTTCTGACGGGTACCGCAACGCGTTGCTCCAGCGGCCTCCTCCGGATGTCGTACGCGCGAATATCGAGAAAGCCACCAACGGCGAATTGTCCACCGTCAACGAGCTTGTGGAGAGAGTCAACGTGAATCTCAGAAACGGAAGGTTACATTTTGTCAGCGACAATGAGCTGACTCTCCTGGCAACCAACTTCGCGGAGCCCGAGGCTGGTTTCGTTGTGAGAGTGGCATGTGGTCCTGCCAAATATGATGTATGGGCAGAAGACCTATTGGTGTCACAAGACGAACAAAGAGCACTTCTTGCTGGATGGCTTTATGTAATGGGTGATGACATGTACCTTTCACGACGAAATGCGGCTGAACAGCAACACCAAGATCGTTTGGGAGTGGACTCGAGTTGCGGAGACGAGTGTAAATCAAGCGTGGACGTTGGCTTGTATCGGTTTCTTGCAAGAGTTGAACAACTGGATGCAGAAGTGGTCGTTACAGAGACAGAATGGCTGGCACGGTACGACGAATATGTCGCTGCGCTGAGGGCATTCTTATGGAATATGGTGCCTAGCCAAGCATATGAGTCCGAGGACATAAGTGCTAGTCTCGAGAATCTCATTTCTGCTGCTGAAGATCAGGCGGATGTAATAATTGAAGGACATGTACTATCAGAGGAATCGGGGTATCGTCGTTTCTTGGCAGAGACAAGGCGTGCGATCGAACATGAATTTCCGGAGTTCCGCCCGGGCATGGTACAAAGGCTTGCATATCGCCGATGGAAGATGTTGTCCGCCTGAGGAATAGGCAGCTTACAGAAGCTATGACAGCAAATTACTCAAATTTAGAAGTCAGGATCCGGCAAGTAGAATTGTTTCGAACAAAAAGTCTTTATTAGTAAGCATTTATATTTCGAAAGACGATTTTCGAGTATCAAAGCCAGGCTATGAATGAAATGCTTTCGGTGTTTACCTGTGGTGCTAGATGGAAAGATTGCCATACCTTCCCCTTTTCTCCCAACTCATCTAAGATATTGGCAGGGCTTCACGTTTGGTGCCACGATTGACCGTGAAATGTCCCGACCCATGGAGACCCCTAAAGCTCAACCCGTGCCAGGGTAGCTACCTCCCTATGCCGAGCAGAGACGGCAGCCGCAATATATCTGATAATATCACGGGCTCGGATTGGACCCCGCAATAGACGGGTTTGGCAGTCCCGTTTCGTCTGCACTGCCGTTTGTTCCGTGTAAATTCCATGCAGGAAACGATGGCTGTTTATCCCTTTTACCGGCGAGGGAGCACACTTACCACGCACCTATACTAGATCAAGAGGGATACTTCTTCTCGATAGTCAAAAATCGACTATTTTGCCGCTGTCATATTAAACCTCAAGGATAGGGAGAGATCCGGCTCCCGGTAACCCACCATGCGCCAACAGATAAACGAGGGCACAGACGAAATGGGAACGCGGAGAGGCTGGAACCAATTAATTACGGAGAGATTTGAAATAATGAAGGATGTAGCATTCATCGCCATGCCAGATAAAGAGGTATCATCCCCGCCGAAATGTTCTCGTCTGCAGCGACTCATCGATTCCATCGTCAAGCTTTTGTGATCTATCCATAGCAATAAGTCACCAGATTAAGCGAGCCAAGATGCAGCTCTCACTATTTGCACTCGCCGGTATCGCTGCGACTGTTTCCGCACACGGCTATGTTGACTATCCAGCAGCTCGACAAGTCGGCGCGGCCTCGATCGCGGCCTGTGGCAAGTCGGTGACGGATGACATCAAGAAGGACAACACTTCGCACGTCGAGGGTCTTCCCGAGCTCGCAGCCAAAGACTCTGGGTATCACGCGGCCGACTGTAATCTCTGGTTATGCCGTGGTATTCAATTTGCAGATAATGCTGCCAATGTGCAGAAATACACCCCGGGCGAGTCCGTCAACATCAAAGTGAAACTTACAATCCCGCACGACGGCTCGGCGAATGTATCGATTGTAGACACCAAGACGAACAAAGTCATCGGAGAGATGCTCAAGGTCTGGGCGAGTGGCTATGCAAATGAACAAAAGTTCTATGGCAAGACACTGCCTGCTGACAATACCAACTTCAACATTACCTTACCGGATGTGAGCGCGCAGTGTGGGACTGCCGGTGCATGCGTAAGTGAACATCCAAACCCCAAAGGGATATCTGGACTTGAAAATATTGGTTTGGGACGATTTGGCTAACACCGGCGTTTAAAAACAGGTTCTTCAATGGTGGTGGTATGGGAAGGGAGCTAAGCAGACTTACGAGTCTTGTGTTGACTTCACCATGGCTGCACCAATCCACGCACACGATGGCATGAAGTTGTAGAATGATAAAAATTGATCGTTTGTTTTATGATATACATTTGGTAGCTAGAGCAAGATGCTGCCTCTTGGTATAGGTTACGCTCCAAAGACATAATAAATTTACACTATACAGAAACCTTCAGTCTTTATAGTATGCCATCTGATCATTGTCCTGATATAAGATGAAACGGTCAATTCATGTTCCCTGAATTTAAGACATTGAAACCATCTCACACTGGGCCCATTTGGGACACGCGCGCAAGAAATGTTTAGAAGACAAGTTGATTTCAAATGCTCATAGGGGACTAGTATACCCGAAAACCGTTGTGGGGGCAAATTACTTAGCTAAGGCAGCCACCAAAGATTGCTAGGCAACTAGATAATACCGCGGGTTTCGTTGAGGTCGTGTTTTGATTTCCTCACCTGCGCCGCAAGCATTTAATATTGCTTGTCGCCGGTCTTAAAAGTCATTTCGCCTATCTCGGTATCAGGTGGTTCAATTTATACATATCTCTTGACAACTAGCGGCAGATTCGCTTCACTACGCAAAGAGAGCAATCCAACACTAGTTGAGTTTGATTAGTATGGCAACCGACGATCAACCAGAGTCACCGCTCTTCACTCTTCCACAAGAAGTACGCGATCATATATGGGCGTATCTCCTTGCATTCCGCTACGATGATTTCGAGCTGACAACGCGACCTGACCACGTCTTCCTGGACAATGTCTATACCAAGGCGCTTCCCCCAGCAATGCTGACATGCAAGCGCGCGTACCATGAACTCTACCCCACTGTGCATCATGCAGCCGCCCTGAAGGCCTGCATGTTTGAGTTTGGCAAGCGTGTTGGTTTTGCGGTTCATGGCACGCTGAACATTGGGCATTTGCATAAACTGTACTTGATGATCGCGATGGAGCATGCAAACTGGAACACATGGCTGCGGTTCTTTCAAGAGGTGCTTGCACGAACCGATATGCTGAAGGAGCTCATTATCGACTGGGAGCCTCGAATTTCTATGGGAACGGGAAGAGGCTTTCTGGCTGCGCATGAGCGCCGGATGGAGGAAAGCTTCCTTCAAGTCGTCGCCGGGTTGAAGCAATTGGATCTAGTGCGAATCCATGGAGCAGTGGCAAGCTCTTGGAAATTGAAGCTAGCAGAAATGACGAAAGTCAAGGTCGTCGCGAATCAGGCACGATGGTGGAGGGACGAGTGGAGGACTGTGGACCGTAACTGGATGCGGAAGCCCGTTTATCAGGATGGCATAATGTTCAGAATCTAGAGACTAGCCCATAATAGACATCTATGACCGAAGCCTTCTATTGTCGAGAAAAGAACAAAAAACGAGAACAAGCGTGAGCGCTATAGTGTCGAATAATTGTATCAACAGAATACAGCTAGGCTGAAGAGCAATATTCAGCACTTCCTTTCGCCACTTTCAATACCCGCCACTGTTTGTAATTGAAGAACCGCTAGTATCTGGGTTTCTTCTTGACATGAAAGACGGCTGTAATCATAGGTCATTAACACCCAAAAAATCTACAATGTCACTATAAGCTCCAGTGGCATTTAAATGAAAGTTAAGTCCGTGACCCGAGCCAGGATAGCTGATGGCCTTGAAGTCTTTCGCATTCGAAAATATTTGAGCTGCGGGTGTCTCAAGTGCACCGTTACAACTTTATCAGGTCAATATCTTTTGATAATAGCACGATCTACCAGGACAACTTACTCGGACTCGCAGAAGATAAAGTCAAATTCGCCCGTGATTATCTGCGTGATATTCAGCTACATAATGAACCGAGCAAACGAGGAACTTGACAAACCATCGCAGCACCGGTGAAGGTGAATGGCAGCTGATTCAGTGCGCCTGCTGTAAGTGTCTCCGTAACGGCAAAGGGCTGTTTATTGGCGTCAGCATATCGAGCCACCTTCACATCATAGTCTGGTGCCTTGAAAAATCTAGGAATTGTATGTCAACAACTTAGGAGTGACAATTATGGGAGCATGGTTGCTTACGTGTTGACATTGGCATATAGATCTACGGGTGTTAAGTAACCCTGGGCCATTCATTAGCCGTGACCTTGTTTCAATCTGGGTATACCGTCTTACTGTATCGAGCTGGCGCCATTTTCCTGGATGTTGCTTGGCAGCGATTCGAGGTTGGCCGGCTTGAATGAAGTCCGCAAGGTTAATATATGTTTCATTCAGACTAAATCCTGTAAGAATAACACCGTCTGCAAGCGTAGGCTCAGCACCTAGTGCAGTAATAGAGATCGAGCTACCAAAACTATGGCCGACGAAGACGATCTTTTCGGGAACTCCGATGTCCATGATATATTGACCGGCTTTAACGAAGCGGGCAATTTTCTGCAAAATAGCCGTTTGCTGGGAGAGTTGGGCTTTGTATCCAGAAACTCTAGTAGCTGTCAGTGCTTTTCTCGTGTCGATGTGAATGGTAAAAACGTACTGCGAGGATTTGCCAACCCCGAGACGGTCATAATACAAGATGGAATAGCCGCGGTCGGTGACAAAGTCGGCAAAACTATAAGTCTCTTCCTCAATCTGAGGGTGCCAATAACTGTAATACAATGAGAAGTCTCTTCGTGATATAGAAAGTCAAGATTATAGTCGGCAATTCACCTGCGGTCAAAGTTCAATCCATGAGTCGCAATCAGGACCGTGCTTTTGTGCGTAGCTGGCTCTCCTCTACCAGGCGTACAAAATGTGGCCGATATTTCGTAACAGGCGGTTTCATTCACTGAACCAGAGAAGAGGCTACCTGAAGCTGATCGGCTTGAGATATTGTCAATGTAATCGGCCACGTCGAAGTCGTCTTCGAAAGGAGGCAGTCCAAAAACGAGATTCTCCGTGGTTACTGTCACTGGTATCTTGTAATCTTGACAAGACTTAGCAGCAACTCCGCCAACTAACTTTCCTATTAAGGAAGCGGATAGAATGGTATATGCCCTCATCTTGCGCTTTGGTCGCTGACTGCGATATTGTTTGCCATTTGATGCTGAAGAGTTTGCGGAATTGGCCTTGGGGATAGCTGAAATTTATATTTGCATTGTCCAGATACTCCTATGTATGTTACATAAGCTTAATACCAATGAAACCCCGAGATTATGCTACATTCGGTCTTGCAATAGTCCAATCCATGGAGCACTAATGACACAACGTCGTGTTCACCAATGACGGATACCGACCTGAGTAATCAACCATACTTGACGCCCGCCAGTTTTCGGTCATTGCAAGCCACATCAGCGCCAAGTAGAACGTGCCGCCTGATGCACTCTTGCTATTACTTGAAATGTTAGGCAGGCATCAACAGCGTGGCGAAGACCCAGCCATCTGGCAACTAGCCAGGTACATTGCTTACTTAGAAGTGTGGAGACATAGGCCTAGGTGTGCTGGAAAGGAGGGATAGAACTCAAATACTCCTGTTTAGCTCAGGCCATCTCGCCGACTCGCCGAAATGATAATGTGAATTCCACTAAAAGGGAGATCAAGCCTCACCGGTTCAATCCTTAGCCCACAATCTACTTGAAGTCGCAACGGAAAGTTCAGATGAACAGATAAAAACACGGTGGGACGATGTATACTCGTAGATCTAACTCTGAGCTATAGAATAATGAAACACTACATATAGCATTTGTTTTGCAACAGAGCGCGCAATTCAGCTCTTCAGCTCATCGCAGCAGTCATTTGCTCCCAAGACGGCCATTACTTTTTCCTTGGGATAGCTGGCGCGCGCCCTCGACTGTCGTGACGCCATTAAATTCCAAATCATTAGCTCAATTTCCGGAAGCCGGCGGAATAGTGCCCAAAGCAGAGGTGGGTTGCAAGTCCGTGGAGTTCGGCGCAGTCGACGGCCCCGAACCTGCTCCGGAATTGAACAGTTTTACGAGATCTCCCTCAACTTCTTAGAGTTGCTTGCGCGTGATCTGTTGATTCTTGGGGGTATTTGAATTGCAAATCAGACATCCCGAGGTTTCCGTAATGGTAAACCCTTCGTGCGCAGCCACAACGAAAGCCAATGAATCTCGGCTCCGTTCCGGATCTTCTAAGACTTGTATTACCCCACTCCGGTGACCCAACTCTTCTGACGCTATGCAACTCCGCTACTCCGTGTCAACCTCAAGACTTGGCGATCCATCGGCTGTCTCTTACTCCTACGCTTGTAGTATTTGGAATTTGGCATCGGAGACCACGGTAGATCACTTGAGATGAATCGCCTGCCGCAAGAAATCCTTGACGATATTGGAGCCCTCTTTTCCCCCAGCCCCGTTGAGAGAAAACCAGGGCACACAGTCCAGCGTCTCTCGGTGCGACCAGTGCTTGCTTCCGTCTCTCGGAGATGGCAAATAGCCATCGAGAGACATACCTTTGAATCGATAACCTTGGACAGCACTGAAGTCGACCACTTCGAACAAGTCTTCAAGGGTCGACGACGACTGCTGCTTAAGTCCATCAAGTATCGCATCATATTACCAACGTATAGTGATGTTTTATGTGGGAGATTCGAGCGGCAGTTGGACCGAGAAAATAATGACGAGGCAATTTCGAATGCACTGAACGACTTATTCCGTATACTGTCATCATGGGATGATGATCGCGATAGCTTTGGCGCTCCAAGTTCAATCGAGCTGGAAATAGACGACATCTACTCGCCGAAAGATAGTGATCATCGAACTGCCCCAATAGTGATTGGCCGACCTGGAGATCTTAGAAGTGTCAGGTACAAATACTCCTATATGGATATTCAAAATCCTAACGAGCTACCTATTGTTCCCTGTATCACCATTTTCCGCACGAAATCAATGAAGAGACGACTGGCGCCCCGAACCGCTGTTCATATCGCAAGCAGACTGCCAAATTTGCGCGTCACCAATATCTACGTCTATGACGAT